TTAGCACCTCTAGTAATATATTTACCTGTACTGAGAAAAATGGTGACGTGTTCAATACTTATTTTATCTGCTGAACATAATGGACAGCAGTATGTAGAAATCAGAGGCGTAACATCCACTAAAACAAAAGTGATATGAGGAGTCCCACAGGGTTCCATTCTCGGAAAGTTACTACTCCTCATATATGTTAATGACATGTCTGCTGCTGTAAACTGCAAGCTGCTTTTACATGCTGACGACTTGGCTCTCCTAGCAGCTGGTAAGGACACTCTAAAAATTCAACAAAGCCTAACATCAGGACTTCACTCTATCCATGAATGGCTTACAGACAACAAGTTATCTCTTCATCTAAGAAAGTCAGAAACAATCCTCTTTGGATCCAAAAAATACTTAGGTGTGGACCGGTGCTAGATGAAATATTCTAAGGCAGTCAAACAGCTGACACTGTCATCAGAAAATCTAATGCCAAACTTAAGTTTCTGTACAGGCAGACAAGACACTTCAACATTAAAACAATACAAAACAAAATACTAATCTCATCCCTCATACAAAGTCATTATGACTATGCATGTACAGTACATCGTGGTGTACAGGCCTTCCCTAAAAAACTGAAAACTCAGCTACAGACTTCAAAAAATAAAACACTTTATACTTTATAACATCCACACTGGCGAGGGGTGCACCCTGCGTGTGTACCCAAAGCGTGACTTTTGCTGTCATGCTGAAATGTGTCGGGGAGGGGTCTGTGGGTCATGGTCGTCTGAGGAGGATGGAGATGGATGGAGATGTGTAAACTTTTATTTAAGATTTGAGTTTTTATTTCAAAGATCCTTATGGCTCAGTAGCAGAAGCATAAATATTATAAAGCTGATGATAAAGCTGAATCTAAGTCTGGTTATGAAGGTAAATTAAATATCTGACAGTGATCATTACACAGTGTGGCTCTAATTCCTCACTTCACCAACTGTGTCGCAGCTTCCCGTCTCCAAAATGAGTGTACGCATGGGTCAGAGCTGGCTGAGGCACCACACATTTTCACGTCAAGTTTGGATTTTATTAATCACAACCTTGGTGTGAAAAGTGGCGTACGCAAGTTTCTGGCTCCTTTTGTGTGTTCGCAAAAGTACACACAATTTTATAAATCCGACCCCTGGTCACTGTAAATGAAAAGTGCCACAACACCCTATCTGGCCTATTGTCTCTAGTTATCCCCACCTCAAAATCCTTTGGTCGTCTGACCAAAGGATTTTGAGGTGGGGATAACTAGAGACTTTCAGCTATTCTGGAGCCAAAGCATGGAATGATCTCCCAACACATATACAGTTAATACAACGCATAGAGAATTTTAAATCAAAGGTAAAAGATCTTCTACTAAACAGTCTCCACCAAGAGGAGTTAAATCCCTTCAGTATGCCATCAAACTCAAACTCATTTTCTCGTATCCTTATCTKTTCTGTTGTATCTGCATACCTTTCTGACGGTCAGAAACTTAATGACCTTTTTCTCCATCTTTGTACCTCGCTTCTCATCATTGTGCCTATATTATCCCTCATATAACTGTGTCACTTAATTTTTGGACCACAATAAGTGTTTCTCACTTTCTTGTGTTATCCAAGTACTAATAATGAATGTACTAGATGTGTATGTGCATACAATATTATTGCTAAATAAAATCAATCAATCAATCACTACAATTTTAGATATCCTTTTATGTTTTTTTAGAATATTTTTGTGCTAAATAGTTTATRCACAAAACATACGTATGATTATGAAGATGTTCTTATAAAAAGTAATGTTTTATATCTGTATTTCTAAAATTTCAGGAGAAATTGTGTATACTAGTGTGTCTGTGTTGGGCAAATGGAATTATTCACATGTGTGAACAGCGACATCTAGTGGTCGTAGTTATATATTACAACAACGTTGTTGCAGTGCGGCGTACGTCCGCAGGGCGGCGCTAAGCAACAGGAAAACCCAACGGAGGGAGGTCCAAACGGGTTTCTGTGCAAACTCAAACTCCCCCGATCAAGCTAGTTAGCAGCGCGACGTGGTGAACGTCGCTGGTGATGCGTTCGTTAGCAAACAGGAGAGACGATGGAGTAGCTGCCTCGGTGTTTTGCTGGTTTGTTTTTTATTGTGCGCCGTTTCAGGAGGGGCTTCAAAACGAGAGGCTTCATGCGGCKTTCGCTGCTGGTGCTCCGGGGAGTTTGAGCTCTGAGTGGCGGCGTGGGTAGTGGCGAGCTCACTGGGGGGGCAACACGGCTCAGTCACCGGTATGGTTGTTTTGTTGATAGCATTGCTAGCTAACAGTAAATTAAGAGAGWAAGATGAAAGACTTGGTATAATACTTTCTGTAGGTTTTTAAATGTGTGTATGCATGTCGTAATATCTCTGTAATTACAGTGTAAGGTAATGATAAGCAGCAGGCTACAAAATAAGCTGAAACTAGTGGGTTCATGCTTCAGTAGTGTGTATTTTCAGTTCAGTGTGCTTCTAATGAAAGCTTCATTAATATGGTGTAGTCAGAAAGTACCAGCATCACTGTTAGGGTCTGTGCTTCAGTGCAGATGTTCTAACCTGTCCTCATTCAGCAACATTATATTCAGTTGGACACATCTTTGTTTATCTTAAGCCTGTTGCATGTTAAAGCCCTGCTCATTAATGTAATCAAGTCAAAATTCTGTGCTTTCCTTCCCCTACAGAGTGGCAGCATGGTGGTCCCGGACAGTGCCAGCCTGGTCTCTCACCCTGCCAGGTCCAGCGACCTCCCTGAGAGCTCCGATGCAGGGTGCCCAGAGGCCGGGGAGAGCGGTCCAGACMTGGCAGGGATGGAGCTGGAGGAGGTCCGAAAGCTGCAGGAGCTCGTCCGCAGGCTGGAGATCCAGAACGAGACGCTGCGCACCAGGGGAGTCAAGGCGGCCGTCCCCAACGGAGCCGTCGGCGACGGYGTGAACGTCAACCAGAGGCTGCAGCTCAGGCTGGACCACAGCGGCGAGCGGTGCGGCATGGACTCCAAGCTCTCGCCGCCTCTGGAAGGCAGCAGCAGCGAGGAGACGTCCCCTTCCGCTGTGGCCAGCCGCTTGGAGGAAGAGGACGAGGATCTGGGTCCGCCKTGTGGGGGCTTTCTGTCCCTGACCTGTAGGAATGGAGCGGGGCAGCCTGAGACACCGGAGAGCCCATCTCAGGGGAGCTGTGAGTCAGAGACACTTGCGGACAGCGACTCGGGGGTGGATCACACCGCGCTGGACGAGGTGGACGTCCTAGATTTGCAGGAYGAGTGTGCAGACGTAGAGGACGAGGACAGCTGGTAGGTTTTTTTTTAATTTATTATTTTATTTTTTCTTACGTTCTGTGCCTGTTTGTTTCTGATCTCAAACGATGCTGTGAGAGAAACACCGTGCACCAGATGTCTGAAACGTAAAGTGTACACAAGGCAGCCATGCAGAAGAGTTGCCGCCTGCGGTAGTTGTGTTCAAACAGGGGAAGAAAAAAAACATAAAATTTATCCTCAGATGTTGTTTTTCCTCCTCTGTAGGTAACAGAGCCCCTTCAGCTGGATGAGTCAGCTGTGCCTTTTTCATCTGAACTTTTGGTTTGAAAGTGTGCAACTCCCCCACGGGGCAGTGACTGTGTGCCATTTGAATTTTAAATAAGACTTTCCACATCACATAAAGCAGGTGTCTCACCCCTGAACTTGTAAAGCAGAGCKGAAGAAAAGTATTGGGATAAAACAGGACAGGAATTATTTTAAAGGCAGATTACTTGAAAACAAAGAGAAGCTTTTATATTTTGTTTAGCAAGATCCTGAATTAACCGAAAGGCTCACATTCCTTAAAATAATAGGTACTGCCTTTAATGCCAAAGTTTTAAACTAAGATCAGCTTATGGCCGAGCCTTGAAAATAACACTTTGCATGATCCTATGCAATGTTACAAGATGTCAATCCTACTGTATGTGTAGTTAATAATCTATTTTATTAGTACACAAAATTTCACCTCAATATCTGCAAAAATTCACTGTGTTCGAGCCATTGTGCAGGCTAAATTAGATTATTTGTGGCAGGTATCTTAAATTGGATTGACTCCAAAAGTTAACCCTTTGTAGATGTGCATCCAGTAATCATGGGGTTGGTTGATAAATCGATTCAATCGATTAATTCGAATTTGCCATTTGTAAAGATTTACTTTAGGGAAAATTGAGAATTTTTTTCCCACCAGTGCACGCTTTGGGGCTTCTGTAGTTCAGAGGTCACCCCACCTGTCCCTCAAGACTCTTGGTACAGGATATGACAATATGGCAGCTAGCAAAGAGGATCTACTTCTCAAAAAAGGCACTGTTTCTTCAGTTATCTGGCACTGGTTAGGTTTCGCAAACTCAGACTTGGAGCAACAAAGACCTCACTGCAAAATCTGTTTGAAGGCTCTTGCTACAAAAAGCAGGAGTACAACAAATTTGCTGTAACACCTGAAACAGAGGCACTCTAATAAGTAGGAAGCAAAAGTGATTAAAATCAAAATTTATTTATTTATTTTTTAGTTTTTGGAGTCCACGTCGCCCAGCCCTAATAGTCGTTTATGTAGGTTTGACCCCTACAGTCAAAGGTGTCGTGCACAGTCTGTAAGCACTCAAAATATGTGCTGGGGATCAGTCTCAACTACCTTCACACCCAAATTTAGTTCAATACATGCAAAACTGACCCAAGTTWTAGCTCTACTTGTGTTGTAGCTCTTATTAGATGTGCATCCAGTGATACTTTCTACAAGTTTGAATTTTTTTCTGTTCATAAAATATTTTTTCAGACAGACTCAAGCAAACACAAGAGCCAAAATATATCACCAAAGAAATAACAATAAGGTAGCAAACAAGAAGAAATAACCATTTCTTTAATAGATGAACGTAACGTTCTTTTTTCCCCAGAGTTTAACAGCTTGTTTTAATTTTCCTGTTATTAGCCGTACCCCATGTGCTCTGTGGGGTGGTCACAGCCAAAACGTGGAGTAAATCCCAAACGGCATCATAATCTGATCCGGGTTGGATGCTTTGCAAAACTGCTTTGTGTTGGAAACGCACAGCATGTGATCCGAAGACTCGCTGGAGGGACTGAAACTCTGGCAGCAAATAAAGCTTTTGTTTTGTTCTGATTTGATATTTTTAGGCATGCGGGTTCTCGCGTTTGAAACAAACATGACGTCCAGGAAGAGCAGACTGATTATTCTTTCAGAACAGAAAGGTGTTGTTGTTGTTGTTGTTGTTGTTGTTGTTGTTGTGGTTGTGGTTGTTGTTTTATAAACCTTGTCTGTACAATTCAAGATAAACGTCTGTGTTAGGTTGTTTCTCACAGATACATTTATTATCTGTCCCAGAATGCGGAGCGGGAGTGTTTATGCCTGTGAGTGTGTGTGTGTGTGTGCGTTCATTCATCTTTACCATTAGCAAAATGCCTCATAAATCGCTGAATGGATTTTCATCAATCTCTCCGTAAACATCTACAAAATAATTTGAGTCGGCCTGATTTAAGATGGATGCCACAGCTAATTAGCTTCAGCCCACGTAAAAATGTCTATAACTCTCAATTTTATAGATATTGAGCTCAAATTGTCACTGACAACACAACTCTTAACAGATGGTGTGTGATCATGCAAAGGCTAGTTTTTTTAATAGACTACAATTCTGTCATTTCTCATCATAAGAAGATTTTAGTCTAGCATTAAAGACAGTGGATGATATTCCTATAAGAAATGCTTTTGTCAATAGAAAGCCTTTTTTTTAACCCGCTTTTCCTTTTAGGTCAGTGGCTGCTTGTGCTCATGTCCAGCAGTCACTGTGCGAGAGACCCTGGACATCACAGGGTCACATAGAAACAAATGAGATAAATAATGTACTTCCTCAAACCTAGGGACAATTTAGAGTTACCATTGAAACTAAAATGCATGTTTTTGGTCTGTGGGAGGA